GATGGCTGAAAAGTACCTAAAAAATAAGGAAACAACAGAAAGGCAAGCTCAGGCTTTGTGTGCAGTAAACCAGTAACACACAATGTGGCAAAGATGCATGAAGCCTCTGATTCGGTTAATCAGCTCTCATCCCTGTAGCAGCTTTGGGGTCAGCCAAGTGTGAGTGAAAGCTCTTAAGTGCAACACATGTAGGTCAATCACACAGAGTGAACAAACAAGCCCAGTGAGGACAGATTTTACACTCCACAGCTGATCATTGAGCACTCGAGTTCAACCATTTCCTACTTATTTTCCCACACGGGCTCTATAGCAGATTTTAATAAGTCATCACCTTCTTCGGGCAAACTCCGGACCACTTTAACTGCCGCAGCAAATTTCGCCTCCAGGCTGTGCTTGTCCTCCTCCTGCGCCATGCCGAGTCCACTGAAGGATGACATGAAGGAGTCCTCACATCTTGAGCAAGAAATTGAAGCAATTAATGAAAAAAAAAAATCAGAAAGAGCTGAAGGGAGGGGGTGACACAGTTTGTTCACCTTGCTGGCACCTGTCCTGTATTTGTAAAAGGCCAGCTGCTTTCTCTCTAATCTGGGATTTTGAGATGAAATTGTTCTATATAATTACCCTCGTCGTTTTTTTTTTTTTTTCGTTCAGCGATAACAGTCTATATTCTCCGAGTGAAATGCATTTTTCTGTGGTTCATTTGCTCACTCACCATCAAGTTCACATTGGCCGGTAAGATAATTATTTCATTAGCCCGGTGTCTGTCTGCAATATGCAGCAAAAAAGCCAATCTGCTCCGGTCAAGGATGAGCCAAACACGCAACGTTTGAGCCTTAAACACGTCTGGGTGATGTAGTTTTATTCAGTAAAAAAAACTGCAGATAGTAGTGCACATCTCAACGCTTAAGCATTCAAATCCCACAAACCTCTCTGAGCGGAGCTTTAAACCGAAGTGGTGAGTGGGAAATGTAGGAATCTGCGTCGAGGTCTCTTTTTTGTCCAGGCAGCAAAAGAAATATTTCTCTTTCTCTTTTCTTAAAATTAAACTAAACCTGTAAAGGATATTGTCAATGCTGATGATTCAATAAGACACGTTCTGTTATTTTTTAAACACATCAGATTAGAGTTTTATAGCGCCTATCCCCAGACTGTCATGTAGAATTTAAGCTATATATTTTTATTTTTATGTGCTCCAGATAAAAATATTTCTATATTTTTCATAGGCCTGTTTTTAAATTAGTGTTTGATGGATGTTAATATTGCAAAATGGGTTGATAATGGTGATGTAAAAACAAAATATATTAATTTCAAGCTAACGCTGTTTCTTTTTGACTGTGTGTGTGAGGAAAGAAGAATTTAAAGATGTGACACGTGTCTACATGAGACCTTATAACCTTATTAATAATATATAATAATATGTTAATATATTTTAGTTAAATACAAGCTAAAATCAACTATTCGCAATCATTGTGTTATTAGCTATACCATGTAAAATACCGCTAAATAAAATAATGTATTATTTTATCAGCGTTTATAAGCGACATTACTAATGCCATCGCAGTAAAATGCCATTGGGCAACGGCTCCTCTCCCTCGGCCTCTCAGCCAATCAGCTCTCACCGCTTATAACGTAACTCTGATTAGTCACGGGCTGTTGTGAATCGCAGGCCAGCGGCCCCACAATGCCAGGCGGGGGAGCCCCTTTCTCAGCAACACAGCACAGCATCACCGCCTCGCCTCGCTGAGAAAAAGGACAGGCAGGAGAGAAATGCAAAGGGATGTAAGATGGCAGAGCTACAAATGCTATTAGAGGAGGAAATCCCTGCCGGTAAAAGAGCGCTTGTGGAAAGCTACCAGAACCTGTCCCGGGTAGCGGAATACTGTGAAAACAATTATGTTCAGGTAAGAAACGCCTAAAAACCGCCCTTGCATATGGTGAATTTACTGGTTTATCACCGTCGTGTCTGCGGTGTTGTAGTGGGAGTGAGTGAAACCACAGGGGCAGGAAATGCTGGTCGGAACGAAAGCGACTATCAAATCGCTAGCTACACCGAGTGGTCTTTTCTCCCGGTACGCTGGTTTAAGCGGCCGCTCGGTGCCATGTCGGGCATGGCTGTGTTTCGTTATCCCTCTGGTTTCTGTTTTTTAAAGGGTTTCCTCGGTGAGCTGAGAGCTGCTGGGGGCTTTTAGAGGGTGTGTCGTTGTTATGACTAAGTAGGTTGTCACTGACTGCATTCTGTGGTTGGTACCTGTGAAGGAGGCTAATCTCAAAACCGATTTTTTTTCTTCTTTTTTCCTCCCTACGTGACTAAAACCACACGCTCACCGCACGTGAAAACGACATAACAGTATTATAAAACGAAAAAAAAAGGCTCGAGCCTTCCCTTTAGTCGTTTAAAATACAAAAGCTAACAATTGTATGTATATTTTAGAAAATGTAATACTGTCACAGAGCGATTATTATAACACATTTATTCACTAGAAACTCACTAAAACTGTGGCATATTCACGATTTAGCCCTTCCCTTTAGCCATTAAGCACTGGATTTAAAGGCATTTCTCATCTGTGAGCTTTCTTGCCAGTTTATACATCACAAAGTAAACCAAGTGCTAAAGACTTTACATGCAATTCGTCCAAGTCTATAAATGTGTAATGATCCTGATATAACGGTCTACTGCAAAACGTGGCTCCAGAGAATGTGTGTGTGGATCTTATAATGCCTGTGATTGCATGCATGGTGCAGGTTAATGAAAGGTGTGCCTGCTTGTTTTTTTGTGCTTATATTCACTAAATATTAAGTCAAAAAATCAGTAAAGCATTGGGGCATCTGGCTAAACAGTATTAACAATAAACCTCAGCTGTTAGTCTCCCACAGAGTGCATTGAGTAAATGTGAGGAATACTGGGAGCTGACATCAAAGCCCATCAGTGATTTCAATGGTCTGGTGTGAACAGAAGACCACTTTGAATCAGAAACTGCGCTCCAGCTTGGCAATTTCTTCATCACCGTGCTGCTGAGAAAGCCCACAGTAAAAGCACATCAGATCACTTTACCCCGGTTGTCATCAAAAATGCAATGTAGGTTAGACTGCTTGAATGCACGTTTCCTACTGATGGGCTTACACGGTGTTGTGAGGCAACACTTTCAGAGCTAGATCATGCAGGAAGCTATTATTCTGCAGATCAGTTGGACGGTTTGAGAGGAAATGGCATGCACCTGGTGGCAAACTTAGCTGCTTTAAGAAGCAGGAGCTTAGAGGCTTTAGTTTACAGACCAGGTGTCATATGTTGTGAAACAGGAATTTGGAGCACTCAATAAATAATAATAGCAAAAAGACTGTCACGTCAGATTGATTCTTTTGATATTGATAAACTAAACGAAATGAAAAACCAATTGTCATGGTGTCGCTGCAAATTTATTTAGGTCGTGGAATATAAAGGTACTTCACATATGAGCTCATCAAAAATACAAATCCCTGTTCATCCATCCATCTAAAAACAAATCAAAAAAGGAATCCCTTTTTATTTATTTTTGATTAATGAAACATATGTATTTTCTAGTAGACAGTTTTGTGGCACACCTGTTTTTAATGCAATGTCCGTTCTTAGCACTACTGAATGTTGCTCCTGTCAAAATCCCAGCACCACATGAAGCCAACAATAAACCATGTAATCATATTTTGTGAGTCATCTGCAGAAAACACAGGGATGTTTTTTTGGAGCCAGCTGGTGTCACCCAGATAAGATTTACTATCTCCATGAATCATTTATGTGTAGGTGAATGAGACAAAGGCACTAAGGAATAACTCTGTGCATCAAGAGATTCGAAGTGTCATATAAGTTCCACATTTTTATCAGGCCTTAATTTCAGAAAAATATCATAAGCATATATCTATATATATTTGAAAATGTTTGAAAATGATTGTGTGCTAGTTTGATTCCCTTTCACTGCTGAGTTTGAAAGCCCTGGGCTGCTGCTTGGTTTATTTCCGACATCATGGCTGGAATATGAAAATGCACGCATGTGTGTGTGGCTTTTCCCGGATAATGATTTCTTCAGGGACGTTAAAAACATTAGCTCAGATTCTGCGTGCATGTAAACACACTTGACAAACACAACAGGGAATGAAGGGGATTGAGAGTATTATGTAGGCCAGCGTAGCTTATCCTTATATTGTGCTGGGTAAAAATCAAACACGGAAAATGCTAATGTCTTCTGCCTTTTGCTCCCAAGTTGTCAAACCACGTTATCAGCTTGGATACAGTAGCTCTGCATAATCCCATGTGGACAGTTTTTAAAACTGCGTTCACAAACTCACACAGTCACCTGAAATGATGACGCTATGTAAAAAAAACAAACTGCATGCCATGATATGTAAATCTACCCCGGCAGGCTGCAGGAAAAAGACACAAGTTTTATTCTTAGATCAGAAGCTGTTTGAAAAAGTGTCACACACCAAACTGAAGACAAGAGAGCAGGACTCAGTTTTTTTTAGTAACTTTCTAAGGTCTTTGTGTATTAAAATAGCATCTCTCGCAGTGAAATTGTTCTGCTTTTTACAAACCCACTGGTGTGTAAATTGTTCTGAACATTTATGTTCTTAGTTTTGCTTCAGTGTATCGTTTGTGTATGCGTAACCACACATATTACTCATTTCACCCTTCTGTAATATAAGAATGTTAGCCCTGCCAACCCCCCCAAACTACAACTCACTCGATACCCCTCTGACTCATAGTGTTTTTTGTTCATAACTCCTGAGGATATTCTTGTCTCAGTATTGTATTTCACTGAATTTGCTTTATTTTACCGCATTGTTTAGATAGGAGTCTTCCACATACCAAAAAAGAAATTCCAATTAGAGCCTCTACAAAAAGCCTTTTGTAAACTTAACACGAAATCTCAAAGAGAGTGGACAATGTGTATAAGGGAGATGTGTGTGTTTCCGTGCAGTATTAGCTTTAAACCTCTTTGTGCTCGCTTTAAGCTCATGCAAGAATCACTACGTCTCCAAGCACTGTCCTAGCATTGCTTCACATGTTGTGTGTTAATAGCTCTGCGAGGTCTTTCAGTAGTCATCCAGTGAGTTATGTAAGTCAGCCTTTCCCAACCTAAGGTATGAAAACCAGTTTCTGTGCTAAACTCGCAGTGGGTCACAGAGCAGGTGGTTTGGTGGTCATGTTCAAAAGTGCTGTCATGGTGTAGGTGTTTAACCTCTTGCTACCAAACACACGTCAACACGTGGTGGTTTGGAAACAGCTTGCATGTGATAATGATGCATATAGTAGCTGTACAGCATACAACACAGCAGTGAATTGGCCTGAATGCTTATGAACTCTTTATTTAAAAAACTATAAGGTGAGACTTCAACATTTGAAACATCCTGATCTAAAACACAGCTTTTGGTGAAACTGTAGCATGGTGGCAGGACATTAGGTCATCACAGTGGCATCAGTGAATGTGTGACTCTGTAGGCACAGTTTGTAAATAGGGGTTGGACAGAATATCAATGTCAGCAAATCAAAATATTGATTATCATGATCTAATAATTAATGATAATTGATTAAAACATTCGTTGGCATTCTTGTAGTCTGCTAGGACAGGTGGAGCTTAATCATGGAGCTCATGACCCGAGGCAATCTTAAGTGTCACATTCCTGTTTTTCGTACACATTACAGAAGCAGATTGTTAATAAGTCAGGTGTAGATTGTGTAGTAGTTGTAAGTTGCAGTCTTTCTGTGGTAGTTCGCTGTTGGAGTGCTTCAATGTGTGGCTGCATTCTCCCGTTTTGTTTCCAAACTATAAATATGTCCGTTCAGTCACATTGCTATTTAAAGGCATCCAGAAGCAGATGGTTTGCACAGCCGGGTGGAGATTTGGGAAATGTCCTGGCATTCCTGTTTTCTGGGCTCGAATCCCACTGTGCACCTGTCCCATGTTGCCCGTTGGAGCTGTTCGGACATTGTCCCAATTTCAAAGCCTTTGCTTCACAGAATCACAAACTTTTCTCCTTCACTTCCCTTCAGATCTTAACATGGCTTTGCAGTTTAAAAACAGCAAAGAGAGGATGTCAAATACTATTCCCTGTAGAAAACTGCCCTCTCACTCTGCAGCTCACACAACTGATAGGAGAGGAACAATTACAGTACAGCATTTTGTCTTGCTTTTATGGACCTTACACCTTACTTTCTTCTGCCAAATTCTCCATTTTTTCCACCCACACACATTTCCACCGACTCGTTTTTTACATCAGTTTGTTCTTCTCCCTCTCCCTGCCAGGCTCAAGACAAGAAGAAGGCCCTGGAGGAGACCAAAGCCTACACCACTCAGTCTCTGGCCAGCGTGGCCTACCAGATCAATGCCTTAGCAAACAATGTGCTGCAGCTGCTGGATATTCAAGCCTCGCAACTACGACGCATGGAATCGTCCATCAACCACATCTCCCAGGTACGCACCACAACAGATTCGGTATTTGTGCATGGGATTTGAATCATCAGCCAAGAAGGTCAACTCTGATTTTATCAGTCTAATCACTGCTTTATCCATCAAATGAACAAAGATAGGTTTTTCCTCTCTAGATAAAAGTTATTCAAGTACAGTAAAATGCCACAGTCTGCTTTTATTCAGTGTCATAATACCAAACTGCACAATGGCACATTCATGCATTATAAAGACTGACAGATATGGCGGGGGCATGGATCATGCTGGAGCTGCCAATCCTCCACAGTCCCTCATCAGTCCCGCTTGCTTCATCAGCAGTCCTCTCTCTCTCCGTCTCTGCTCCTCTGTGTGCGCTTCATGCGGCCACCCTGCCTGTCAGCCATTGAATGTCCCGTCCCCTCCCTGTGCGCTTCATTAAGCCTGTCAGAATGAAGTGAAACCCTGACGCCAGCACTCTAGCTTGCATTTTCAGCTCCCACTTTACTCTGCAAACTGCGGAGTGGTAGCAGTCAGGTGCAGTCTCACAGCGGACAACCAAACACTATTCTCAATCCTTTAAAGGTGCTCAGTAGAGCTTTACTTCCCCTACTTGATGTTTCTGCTTCACACCCAATGGCACCCTCGACGTGCAGCAGCACAGAAGAGAAACTTTTGAGTCAGTACGTTCACCTGATCGTAACTGAGAAGCGACTTCTATCAGCTTTAGTCTGGCCACAATGTTTCACTGCAGCCTTTTTTGTCTTTTCATAGCTGGAAAAACACTCGTTTCATCACTAGATTGATTCTAGTAGTCACATATTTTTTTTCTGTACTGCTGAAGCTGTAAAAGCAAAGTGAGGCCATGCTTTTTATTCTGTTACATGGCATTCTGTGAACATATCTGCCCTTTTTCACAACACCATCAAAGCAAGCTTGTGCTATACATTTCAGAGAATTAGGTTTTAATTTAAATTCTGTAATTTGATTTACAGGCAATCAAGACAGCTTCAAAAAGATTCTTAGACAGGAAACCACAACAGCATCTTATGAACAAGCTAACCGGTTATGTCTTTTTTTAGTTCAGGCAAGCTGCCTCGCGTGCGTGAAAATGTAATAGCAGCCCATAATACTGCATGCCTTCTCCATGGCTGCATTTATTTGACACCGTGCATGAACTGAGTCAGTGGATCCAGAAGAACATCTGGATCTAGGTCAGTTTGGAATACTTTCACAACAGTGTTTCCCAATTTTTATTCCTTCGGTTTGACATATATTCATGAAGATATGGCACAATGTTTTTTTGCAACGATAAAGAATCCTTCCAAAAATGTCTTGATTCAGATCAGTGTATGAATCGGCTCCAAAGGTTAATTTCCTCCAGGGTGGGGCGTGCCACACCTCTGATAATCTTTTCATGCAAAATGGAAATGCATAATTTAACCACAAGTAAAGAAGCAAACAAAACCAGTCCCATAAACTCAATGATGGGATGAAAGATCATTAACTTTACATATACCCCATAATGGCTTTTCTCTCTACACAAAATGAATATTTAACTGTGCTTTGCTGTGCCAGTTTATCAATTTGTCATTCTAGAAAGAAAGGTAGGCAAACGCTGCTGCCAAACCCATGTCTGATTTAAAAGGCCTCAGCTGAAAAGTCTTTGGCAGAAACATACAGTACAGGCTAATCCCTAAAATGCAAAGCAGCAGCATGTCTAATCAAAGGAGAAATCTGAATTAGAACCTAAATTAAATGGTTATGGCTAAAAATGGACATGCTTCCATTTGATTTTGTTGGAGATCTGAAACTCTACACTTTGGTTTCTTTTCCATTTTCACTCTGTCTTTTCTTTCTGATTTATCTCTCAGTTCATTCCCCGAAATTGTCATCCATCAGCTCAATGACCCACTTGTGCCTTTTTCAGCTCCATTTCAGTTGGTCCAATCCTCTTAAGCGCAGGATCAACTTCGCATTACTCTATATTGCAGTATAAATTTAAAAGACACATTTATGGACACCTCCTTACCGTAAAATATAGCATCAACAGTATTAGTTGTTTGGATTTAGTTAATATCAAACTATACATGAAGTCATCGACATATAAATTCATCGTTTACATGTCTTAAAACCATACTTGGTACAGACATTTCAGCTCGCTCAGTTGCTCTGCAGAGAATGATCATCTGCTTAAGAACAGATTTAATAGAATGACACACTGTATAGCTCTGGCAGTGAGAGTTACCATCTGTACCATCTGTTGTCAAAAAACACACTCCACAGGGTTGAGCAGACAGGCAGATGTTTATTAAAGAGATTACAAAAGAAAATGAGATCGCAAAAGATCATGAAGGGCAGACATCGCTGTTATCACTCATTAGGTAACAACTACGTCTCGATGCATTTAGCAATGTACACACAGAGGAAATGCATACAGAGGAAAGTAGCTCTAAAGTGAAGTTTCCTTTTCTATTTCACCATTTTCTTCTCTTCTCAATCTCTTTTTAATTACTGTAAACCCCCCAGAATCAGCTTCTAGTGTCTAGTGCCTCTGTCTTGTGTGCCTCTCTGTCCTTCTGTTTTTTTCACTCTCTCTAATCTACACTGCACCTCAGCTCGCCTGTTACTGGCAGGAAATGGGCAGGTCTTTTTTGTAACTTCCCAGCTGAAGCTGGGCGTGTCACTTCAGTTTCCTCTCCTAAAGAAAGAGCCTACAATATCACACACACACACACACACACACACACACACATTCAGATAAATAGATGATAGAGCTCAGAGACTTCATGTCAGGCACAGTGAGAGAGTAGCACAACATGACAGTTCTTCTCAGATTTTGAGTCTCTTGGTTGGAAAAATGATTAAAGATAATTAAATGAAGCTCTAAAACACATGTTATTCTTAAAGTATATTTCTTTGTGTCCATTTGCAATGTATACATATATATATATATATGTATATATAATATATAAATTCCCCTCTCACCCCGGTCTATCCTTCAAGCTCGGGTCCTTTACCAGAGGCCTGGGAGCTTGAGGGTCCTGCGCAGTATCTTAGCTGTTCCTAGGACTGCGCTCTTTTGGACAGAGATCTGTTGTTGTTCCCGAGATCTGCTGGAGCCACTTGCCTAGCTTGGGAGCCACTGCACCTAGTGCTCTCTCTCTCTTTATATATATAAATAACAATTGTTGCAACATTGTTGTTACTGAATTGCTGTAAACAGATGCTGACATTTTTTTGTACAACTACATGTCCACTTTGCAGCTTTTGGATGCTGGTTGAAACTGTTTTAAGCAACAGAAGCTGGTGATGGTATAACAGTTTTAAATATAGATTACTCTGTGCACAGTAGCCAAAAAATTGGTTGTGAACAGCGCACACAACAGAGCTAGAAGCTGTCAAATAACAGTAGTTCTCGCGTATTTCATTTACACATA